AAAGAGATACCGCTTCCTCATGAATTTATCTTGAATCGAGATCTTTTGGCTCAACTTTATCCACGTTTTGCCGATGGAGCAACCCCATTTTTCACCTTGAATTGGTCAAAGCCAAAAATGTATTTTGGCTGAAAAGTCTTCTGGTATCATATTAACGTATAGGCAAGTTGAGATTGTGAAGGAATACTGATGTTTATAGGTTCTCTTTAGGCTTGCAAAAGATGTTGTCAAAGCTTTGAAGAGAAGGTTGCAGCACAAGAACCCGAAAGTTCAGTTACTTGCTTTAACGGTATTATTTGAGGAAAAAGTTGTTTTTCCATCTTTCGCTGAAACAATATAGTCAGACTGTTTCCGCGGTCCACTGAGTTTGCATCTTGAATGTTTTTCTAGCTTCTGGAGATGATAGTCAAGAACTGTGGTGATTATGTGCATCTTCAAATTGCTGAAAGAAGTATTTTGCAAGAAATGGTCAAAATTGTAAAGAAAAAGGCAAGTTTTCTTTCTATAACAGTTGGATAATAACCTGAGCAATAAAATGTTCTTTCCTTGTATTTGTAAATTACCAACACAAGTTGGTACTCCTTTTTTCATGTGTAGCAATGCATTCTCTCTCAACAATAAATTGCATAGATATTCGCAATTGTTGGCCTTGGCTTATTTGTTTCTTTCTTTGAGCTCAGCTTGAGCTTCGTCTAAATAGTTAGGTGTTTAATGAACCTTCTAGTGGCTGCAGGTTGGAAAAGAAAGAAGGCTAACACTGCTTATACTGGTCCAATTTTTGAATAGCTGATCAAAGACAAGGATATTTGATCCTGAAGACCCATTCATTAATCTCAAAAATAGTAGATATCAGTCTATCTATCTATATATCTGTATGCATATTCGCCCAACACAGTTTATATAATTAGGCCTGCTATATCTTCAAAAAGACAATCCTGATTGGAGTTAGATGCAAGACATGTAACTTTAACCCATAGACTCTTGATGTGTGGATGGCTAATACTGGATAAACAATGTATTTTTTATAGCAGTCTAGCTGATTCCCGTCATTTGGTTTTTTCTGCATGTGTAGCTTACATAAATCTATTGACTATTACTTTCTACATAGGACATACTTATGTAATTTGTAGTAGTTTTGTTTTGTCTCCCTCCATTTGAATGTTCAATTTACTAGAACTAGTTAATTTTTGGGTATTGATAAACCAATCTTTTAGATGTTTTTGCAGACAGATATGCAGGCGAGAGATAAAATTCTTGTGCTTATTGATTCTTGGCGAGAGGCATTTGGTGGATCTGGCGGAAGATATCCTCAATATTACGTTGCTTATGAGGACTTGAGGGTAAGTTACTCCTCAATCTTGGTATGTTCACTTGGTTTAGCTTTCATAAGGAATTAGATTATACTTATTGCATGGTGGAAATCTGGTTTAATTATTTTGAATTGATGTTTCTTAGTTACAAGTTTTATCAAATTTCTTGGACAATTTTTAAAGTGTTTGTGAACTAATCTTTATTAAGTTGAAAACTTTAGGGAAAATTGCGACCGAGGTCCCAAACCTTTCATTTTGTTGCAGATTATACCCAAACCTTTTATTTTTGCGGCCGAAGTCCCAAACCTTTAAATGTAGTTGCAGCGTCGATCCTAAGCCTTTAATTCTGTGCATAAAATCGTCAGTCAACGTTTCAACAGTAATTTTGACTCGAAAAAATTGTAACGCTGGACAAACGTTTAATTTTTGCGGCTGAAGTCCCAAACCTTTATATATAATTACAGCGTTGGTCCATTTCAAGCATTCCGTCCATAAAATCGTCACTCAACGTTCAAACAGTAATTTTAACTCAAATGACATCTTAATTGATAGGTAAAATTGTCAAAACAAGTTATCCAAAAAAATGTTTGTTTTCTTCAAATCCTTCAATCTTTTCA